CATCGAGGGAGGCGCATTAAAAAAGCATCGAGGCCACCGGATCGAAGGGCAAGTTAAATGGAAAGGGATTCGGAATTCCCTTCTAATTTCGATTCCGAGCGTACAGGTGCTATCCGCGCGAGAGCAGAGAGTAGCACGTAGAGCCTGTTACGCGCCAGTAGCGTAAAATCAGCCATTTAAATGGTGGCTCACGTAAAGTTCGTGTACCGGACCAACTTTTGTCCTCCATCCTCCTTGACTCCCAGACAGCCACCCACTCTCTCTCGCTCTCTTCTTGATTCTTATCCTCCCGTGCCAGCCTCTTTCTACCTTGTACGAATCGAACTTCCCTCGATACAATTTAACGGCTTTCAGTGGCGTTTTCCCTTCGGTATTTACTCGGAGACGTCTCGGTGAAAACGCGGCATAATGGGATCCCCAGCAACTTTCCGACGTTTCCTGCGGCCAGTCACGTTTCTCCCCGGCGACGCTCCCCCTGTAATTGACGTTTATTGTGCTCACGCAACGCGCCGTGAAAACGTATCGATGGATAAACCGGTTTTCCTCTCGTTCCTCGCGATCATTTCTGCTGTTATTTCTTTTATCACATTTTTCTCAGATATTTTGTTCCTTGACAATTTCATAAAAATGTTTCTTGCCAGTCTCAATGGTTAACGCATCGAAAGAAAGATTTCTTTCTTTCTTTGATTTATTATAAAGAAACGAATCAAGCTTATATTTGAAAAGAATGGAGATATCAATGAAGATTGTGTCGTTTAAGAATTGATATAGAACTTTTATCAACGATGAACACGAAATTTAATTACGCTGTGAGGTAAGAGACGGAGGACCCAAACATATGACGCGCAGGTGCGACTAATGATTACACGTGAAGTGTAATCCAGTCTTGCCAGATCTGGCATTCATATGGAGGAAGTCAAGTGCAAATTCAAGTTATACATCGTTTAATTGTTACTTTAATTGTTACATACGTTGCGTGATTAAAATTGTACGATTTACTTGTAGACTACTCGACGTCAGAGACAGAATGTTTTCTATTCTTGTACTCTACTTATGCAACTTCCTAACATGGGACAGATAGAGTACCCGGAAACATTTTTCACGGAAAGTCGATTCGATAGGGGGAGGCGAGGAAGAATGCAGGCGACAGTAAATTCGGGGGCGAAGTTCTCGAGACGGTGTGTATCGATTGGGTCGGTTTTTCGTCCGGCGGAAGTTCGTAAGTCGCTGGCCCGTCAGCGGGGTTAACAGAAAATTCTTCTTCCCGCTTTTCGTCGAGTCATTCGCCAAACTGCCGGAACGAAAGTTTCGCTCGATGCGCTGCCACCAATTGAAATCGAACAGTAAAAAGAACAACTACCTAGCAAGAATTCGACTCTTCGCGAACATACGTTCGCTTGGAATTCGGTCAGAGTTCTCGGACTTCTATGTCTTCCAGGTACTTCCTGTTGTTACATATGGAATCGCAGGACAGGAGAATTGCGGAGAATATAAAGTTCGATCGAAGTCTAGTTAGTATAACACAAGTTTCATACTGCCATTCTACAAGTTGGATAAGAATTTTAAGACTATCAACTCCTTAAATGAAAACAATGACACAGCATTGGAATTTTAATAGTTATTAGATGTTACATTAATAAAACATTGTCCAATATTTTATAAACGTTGCTTCTTTGTAAATATCATTTTTCCTAAAAGTTTATTGCTTTAAATATTGAACATGAATGGTTATCACATTTCTTAAACTTTTGGCAGAGATCTTAGATCATACAACTTTAAATATATTGTATATAGAAAAGTTTTGAAACTATTTGCGTACTTATGACGACAAATAGTGCAATAAATTTTCTATTTATGATCAATTGGGTGTCGTTTTAATGGCATCAAAGATACAACAATAACGATCGAATTACCGTCAATTTGCCAAGCATTTCCGGGAAATTTAGCTGGCAAAGTCAGCCTTTTGCTTGGCAAAACTCGGCATTTTCCACGGACTGAGCTAGTGCGGCGGGGTAACAAGTTTCCCGACTAATAAACGACGCGACTTTCCTCTCTCTTCTGAAACGTAATTACCGGCCAGCCAAGAAAAGAGGAAAAACCGTGAAGAAGACGACGACGGCGACGACAAGGAGGAGGCGGAGACCGAACGATCATAGGACTCGGATCTATGAAACGCGCGGCGTTAATTAAACCTCGTTACACCGAACTTACTGCGAGTTTCTCGTTAACAAGATGCTGTCCGATATCTCTCTCTCTCAATCTTTATCGATAATCTCTCCAAGTTTCGACGAATCTTTCTTCAGCAATCCCCAAAGAAGATCCGTGTAAAGAAACCTGCTCGTTATCAACCACTCCAACTCGCTTGGTATCACCTCCTCACCCCTGTTTCAGAAAACCGCGGTACACCCACGTTCATAAGTAATAACTTCTTTAAATATCTCAAACCAGATGTTATCCAGTTAGAAATTGATAATTGTGTAAAACTCGTTCAATTAAAAGAGTAAAGTAACATAAAGTAGACTTATCAGATTCTTTTACTTAATAGAATTTCGTATTATTATATTTGTATTAGGAGTAGTAGTAGTAGTAGTAGTAATAGTTTGCTTTCTGCACTAGTCCAGACTCAAGCTTATTGAGTAAAGCATATCGCATCTCGTGAGAGTTCAGAACAATGCAATTGACCATCTATTATGCTTTATCACCAGAGTCATCCCCAGATAACTGAAACAGGGAACGAATATT